CTCTAGTAACCGATGAGCTCATCTCCGTCATCCCAATTGAGGATATAATGATTCTGCTTTCGAGCATGGCTCGGATCCATCTTACGATCGACCCATCAATACCAAAGCTCTCAGCAGCCTCACTAATCGAATCGAACGTGGTGTTGTTAAACGCACACTCGATATCTAAAAACGCTCCCAGAGCTATCCCCCCTGAAGACATTCCCTTTTCCAGCCTGCACACCAGGCTGTGTAGAGCCGTCTCCGTGGACATACCAGCCCTGTAAGCATGTTGGAACGGATGTAGTGGTCTACTAACCAGTACGCCATTCCTTATGTATGCATCCACCAGCTTCTCCACCGTTTTTAGAAGAAACGATGATAGGCTGATGGGCCTATAGTCCTTCGCCACGTCATATTTAGCACGACCCGGCTTAGGTAGGTACACAACTCTTACCTTCCTCCAGCTTTCGGGGATATACCCTAAAGCCAGAGAGGCTCTAAAGAGATGCAACAAGTGTAAGAGCAGCGGATCCAGGCCCTTCTGTAGAGGAGCCGGGAATATCCCATCCGGTCCTGCACTCTTAAATGGGCTGAACGTGTTGACCGCCCATCTCAGAGATCCCTTGGTAACCACCCGGGAAGCTACCTTCAAGGCAACTACTACTAAGCAACTTCTTCGACACTATACTGGGTTCCTGAACAACGGTCCGACGTCGGAGTAATAGCGATTCTTCCCCACTGGCGATCTGTGGTCAAGAGCAGGAATTCCCGACATATTTCTATTCCATGTATTCAATCTTCTCATTTATTTGAATTTTTACCATTTCTACCTTACCGTCCACATCGGTAATTAAAAAAAAAGGTTTACTGAAACTGTTTAAGAACCATTTTTGATATTCTCATAGATATCCTTTGAAAATTCTCTTAAAAAATTCTGTTCGAGAAATTGAGGGCATTTGAGCACTTTTTCTAGGGAATTTCGTAGAATGTGTTGGCGATTTTATGTGCAAATCTCTCGCCAAATCTTAAGCGGTATCTAAGGTCTCGTATTAAAAACATTGTAATATAACTTTAGAATTCGTTCTTCGTACCCCAGCAAAAGTTTATGTACTCGCACTAAAGGCAAACTTGGTTAATTAGGGGTTGCGGTGGAGTACGTTTAGTGATCGTCGTAGAGGGTTAATGTAGGGTAGATTAACGCATAGTATTTGTATTTTATTTAAATTTTGTTTCTCAAGGTTTTATTGCATGCGATACTCATTTTTGACTATTACAAACTTCACACTAAATATGCAAATCTATTGCTAGAATACTATTCACGGAGGTAAATCTGTACACTAATACGAATGTAATTATCAATTCAAGATAACGTAATTTGATTTAATTAAAAAGAGCCTTAATGAAATTTGTTATACGTCAAGGGGTGATTGAAAAAGCGCCAGCATTAACAAGGTTACATAATTAAAGCTTGAATTTTCGGTAATTAATTAAAATTGGCCGATTAGAAACTTTCGAAAATTAAACTGAAATCAAATGCTAAAAGAAACTGTCCCGATTTCGAGACTATGCTAAATCTTAACCTTCTGGAAAAAGGGGACGAGACTGTAATAGAATTTAAGAGGTGGCGCCTTTCCCATTTGGATTTAGTCACTGATGGTACAGTTTATAATCAGTTTATCGGTCGCATCAGTTGACGATGGTATCGCGTGTCGAACGAGGCGTTGCTCAGCAACAGGACTATCACAACGCCACAAACACCTACAACCCACAACCCCCAATACCTACATTTTTAATGCATTTGCTCATCATTTATTCAGTACTAAAATGATTAGTGGGTGGACTCTGCGTGTATAGACAACTCTTTGGAAAAGTTTCTGTTTAATACCCATTTTGTATTTTTGTTACCTCCATAAAAATGTACTCATAGTAATAGTAGGGCTTACTTACAAATCATACATCTTCGTACACACGCAATTCGGTACTTATATTTTAAATTTCTTATTATTTATAAATGACGTTCCGATCAAGGGTAGTGCGACGATATTATTGCGAAATCAAAAATTTTACATCCATAAATATCGATCTATCATAATATTTGCAAAACACATTCCACGCCGACGGTAAGCTATACAACATTGTGCCCTTCGCGGAGTATCGTCGGTTACATACCGCAATTGAAACGATATTAATCACACGCCCGAAAACTTGGACGGTTTGCTGCATTAACTTTTGAATAAATAAATACAAACCTTAAATTGAGTTTTAATTTCGTTTTAATTGAAAGTTCGGTTTTTTACGCAGAAAAACTAATTGAAAAATAATAAGGCACAAAGCAATAAAACAAACAGTCCTAATAAGTCGCGTAATGACCGACTAACAAAAATGGTGTACATTTGTAACATTAAGCCCAATTAATTGATTTAAAAGCTCGGGAAATTATACCTCGTTTTAAAAATTATAATTTCCATAATCGACGAAAATGTCTATAATTTCGGAATTTTAATAATAGTGGAGGTTACTAGTATGATAATTAGGCAATGTACAGTGCCTTCGAATAATTACCGCAAATCAATTAGATGCAGTCAAATTGTTCCAATTACGTTTTAATTGCATTCACTTCGATAGGTGCTGGTGGTTTTTCTAACAGTGATTTTGTACAACCCATAAACGAGCAAATAATGTAATCGGAAACGATTTACATAATTCGCATTTCACTCACGCGTTCTTTGTAATGCAATAGCTATTTAAGTAATGAGGAAGCGCCTTCGCCCGTGTCCACGAAACAAAGGAGTCGCATAATAAAGTTGACAAAATTATGCATCTACAGTTCTACCGTATTAAATTTACAAACAACTTCTCAACACGACCCATTCAAAGTAGACGGACATACCGAGGTACAGACTGTCAACAATATGCACGATAGACCTCTTTACACAGAAAACTAATTGTCTGATATGTGATAATTCATCATTCAAGAAACTGCACGCGCCCCTATTGGGTTCATCTATGAGACAACCCGAACACTTTTATCAAATATTAATAAAGATTTTTTTAGTTTAAACCACGAATCTTTCATTGTTGAATATCTACCTTGTGTGTTAATTATAATGTATTAATTAAGAAAATGAGATTTATTTATTATTTATATATTATTATTTATAAGGTGCCGTTAATTATGGTACATATTATTAACAGTAAGTGGAATACGTCGAGAACGCGAAGAGAAGATAACCTCAATAACACTTGAAGTAATCGCCAATACTTGTTAAAGAATAATTAACGTTCTTGTGACATTTCGCGTATCCAGGTACGCTTCCAGAGAAGGATTATATTAAATAAATTCTTACAGCAATTCTGTTTAATTTTCTGTGCATTTTTACCGTATGTATGTAAAGTATCCTCTTCCGCAACTGTTTCGAGATATTCGCATTTGAAATTTTCATCCCACCGATGGATGCGCTTCTTCGACTCGCAATCATTTTCGTTTTGTAAGTACCCTCTTCCGGCACCCCGTTTTCCAGATACTGGAATTTTCACCCCACATATAGATGCATCTCGTCCACATTATCGTTTTTCCTTTGTGAGTACCCTCTTCCGACACTTCCTTTTTTAATTATTGGCATTTGAAGTTTCGAGATATTCACATTTGAAAGTCTGCCTCCCCTTCCACGTGTTTGACGCGATTAGATTTTTTTAGAGATAGGTAGAATTAAAATGTTAGAAAGATGGTATTAGCAATAATAAATTTAGTTCGGTACGTTCTTTGTGTATTTCTCAACAAAAAATGGGAAAACATTACAATTATTACTTATCTTCGGCTTGTTCGGCATTAAAATAGGCCTGTTATTAAACTTCCACGCAAAAGTGACAGTGTTAAACCAGTTCCGAAGGCTTTGAAAACCATGCTTGGATTCGTTACCTTCAAATTTGAAATCCTCCAAAACCAAAACATCGCGGGATGCATATCAACGATCTTTGGCATTCTTCCTCCTCGAGAAGTCGACTCAGCCTCTCTCTATGTCGAAAAATCGGAAAGTGCATACATACCTACAAACCTACGTACCGGTAGGGGTACCGGCACATAAGAAGGCTACACAGACCTATGCAATTAACAGAATATGAATAGTGGGGATGTGTGATCTTTCGCCTTCTTACGAGCCGGCACCAGCACCAGTCTTTTCGTTACACAATCTTATAATTTTAAAATTGTAGACTAATAAAAGTTTAAAAATTATATCAAGTGGGTATCCGGTAAGTGTTATGAGGGTGGATCCTTTCGAAAATCAGATTATTTTAATTAGCGAAAACATGATAAGGTTTTTACGTTTGGTCTATAGTTTTCATCAAATTTGAACAGTAAGCGATTTTAAAACTAAATTTGAATTCGTTTGAAGCTACACATCTGTAAGACACTAATTAAGTGACAAGAAGCTCATGCACGGTTTTGAAAAAAAATGCGTACGCTATTCAATTATATTGCCATATTGTAACGGGCGATCAAAAATGAGTTGCTGTCGAGTCGCCTTTGGAAGTTCAATTTAAGTACGATTTCTCATGCAAACAAAAATTCCAAAGGTAACTCGAAAGCAACTCATTTTTGATCGCATAGTATCTGTTCTACGCGCCATAATTAAACAAGCACATTCAAAGATATCAATTGAATTGGAGGCGTTTGCGGTTATAATTTTAATCGCCGCTATAATTACCGGTGAACAATCTACTAACCACGCTAACGTGTTCACAATTAACGAGTTGTGGAAGTTAATACTACACAAGAAAATCGATGTATTTATTCAATTAATTGGAAAACACGGCAGTAATTTGTATTTGCAAAGTTTATTGATTTTTGTGTTAAAAATAGGAGTTGACATTGTTACATTACGAAATTCCCAACGTAGGCGACGCTAATTAAAAAAGTACCCCGGAAACAAATTAATTGCCACTCCACTTGGTGCTTGTTTTTGTTAATTTTTCTCTGGTGCTCTGTCCATTTATTTCATCTTTTAAATTTGTTACAGGTTGGAATCCAGCTGGGGGGTAGTTTTCAGCTAGTCGATCAAGAAAATCCAGGTTAGTACTCGCTATACACGAGCATTGCTAAAGCGCTTTGCTAAAATTACATTCGCACTCAACTTCCTAGAACCGAACAATTTGGCATTTCCGTTCCGTCATCAAATCGCACAACGCCCTCAAAAACAGAATTAGCAAAACTATTTCGGTTCCAATTTAAATCGCATAATGACCGCGAAAGTGCACGAAGTGTGACTTCAGAACCAGAGGTAGGCGCATAATTTCCGAAAACTTCGCCCTAACTAAAAATTACACCACTCGACGGAGTTGGGCTGAAATTTCTGCTCATCTAGAACTAATTCAATCTTCCCAATCTCGTGAGAATTTTGCGAAATCATGAGCGCGTTGTTTTCCGTGCTTTGTTTAATTGCTCCGTTCTCTATTGGAAAAACATTTCATAATTACGCTTGAAATGGACGCGGCTCTGTTTCATAATTAACCAATGTACTTTTATTATCACGGTAAATTCTCCCCCAGAGATGTTTTCTAATGCGTTCTACGCCTGTAACGTGCCGCAGTTTATTTACGATTTGATGCAATCACAGTGTCTTTTTTTAATGACGCTCACTATTTTTAAATCGATGACAACAATAGAAAAATGTAATTTTAAAACATTGTAACAGGGAAAGGGTTGTATTACATCATAACATCATACATGCTATGATCATACGAAGATAATACATAACGTCACATTGTCCACATTAACTAAATCTACCGAGAAATTCATTACTCTGGAGCGATGGGGATATCAATTAAGGACATGAACAATGCATAATAATGGCAGCGTAGAACTTGCGTGGGGTTAATAAAGCGACCCGCAGGTACCCGACGTCGATTTCCTGTAGCTTTAACAGAAATCCGGCATTAACAAACAGGTGCTATGTTTTCGCTCAAATCAAAAATGCTTGCTTGTATGAGTGGGAGGCCAATTGAGTAAAATTCGCACCAGAGTTTGGAACTTTTTAATAAAAATCTGAATTCCCCAAAAGTTTGTGGGGCAACTTTCCAGACTTGTTAATGAAAGCAACTCTAGTGCTCTTTTTAGAAAGGCCAATTTGAACAACACTCCGCTTAAAAAATATGAAACAGGCTTTGCATTCCACCAATGGATAGTGAGTAATAAATCTGCTAATCACATCGTAACATACTGTTACTACGAATAACATAGTGTTCAAAGTTTCAAAGATGTAACCTACTGGAAAATAACCCTCTTTGTTACTTGGAACATGGATAATTCTCCAGTGAGGTAGATGTGGACCTTTTAAACATTTTTTGACACCCTTCTCGCGACGCTGCTAATCTAATTACAGTTCGACAAATCACATGGATCATTCTGTGTATTTTTTCATATTGATTTAAATTACTGAATGGAAACACATTAACAAACCAACTGTCAATTTATTAAAACGGAACTTAGTCACCAAACATTCAGTGTAAATTACCGTATCCTGGATAAAAATGTAGAGGAAAAATCACAACTAACTAAAACCACAAACATAAGTAATGCGCGACCTGTGGTGCGGGTGAACGGGACGTCGGAGGTGGGTACCGACAAAGGGAATATGCCCCCGACAAGATCTTACTGATGTGGAGTCAACACTTCAAACGTGAATTGCGGGTGAACGGGACGTCGGAGGTTTACTAAAAATAAAGATGGACTATGAAATTATGTTAATGTTTCACTTCGTCACTTTTTGGAGTGAATATTTACTATTTAGTTTTTTAGCTACTTCAGACACTAGTCGCTTATAGGTTAGCTTCCAAAGAACAAAAAACACTTTTTAACGATTTGAAATGTCAATATTTCGCCAATTAATTTTTAAAAAAAGTTGACGCAGTATTGATTTTGTACCTAGTTGCTTGAAATATTTTTTGCCCTTTACTTATTTAACGATTAAATTTAATTAATCGACTAAAGAAAATTTATTTAAAAAAATTAGCCCGTCCTACTTGATTAAAATGCATAAGTAAACAATTTTACTAATATTTCTTGTTCAGTTATCTGATATCTTACATCGTTGAAAGGAGAATAAAAAATTCTCTAACCATGTAAAAATTTAATAAGGCATCCATTTAAAAAAAGAACGTTTATATTCATATTGGTAGTAACCGCCCTCTTGAATTTCATTTTGATACGTTGTTTGCGTTTGTTGTATTAAAGTAAGAAATTTTCATATTAAACTTTTTTTCATAACTTGTAATTATTGAGATATTTATTTTGTTGTAAATCGCTTCAGTTTTCTAGAAACAACTTAAGCTGGCCTGTTTCTTTTAAACTTTCTAAACGGGATTTTAGTTAGCACACAAAACTGCAAAGCTTCCCTCATCTTTTTCCTTAATTTGCGCGCACGTCATCACTAAGTATGTTTACATAGCATCTTGTGATGCATTTTGCAACCATTGGCAGAGAATGCGTATAGGTATATGTAGGTCATACTACAATGCTGCATTGTGGGTAGGATACCTATTATATCAACCACCGTCCTTATTTTTTTGCCCTACATTGCCTATTCACGAACTCCGATCTACAAATTTGATAAAGAATTCTGCAAGTCGCATCCGTTCTCTTTTAAATCAATATGGCCTCAAATCATGGCTTCATAATCATCGACCGCGGACAAGCGTCAGACGATTGGGAAAAGGTATAAGTAACTCGACGCTAATATAAGAAAAAGAGTGAATGTTGGAAATTTCCATACATGAAGGTAGAAATTGAAATGCAAGAATGTATGGGAAATTCCCGAAAATTGAAAACAATATTGTCGGTGAAATTAAATTGGCGTTTTTAGACAATGAAGAAAATCTTTATCTTTTATCCTATTCTGTTATTGCGCGGTCTTTCTACAGATTTAATAAGTTGTTTGTCCATCATCCCATAAAATTTCAATTGGCCTTCAGCTTGTAAATATTGTATGGTTTTTGTTTAAAATTCGCTGTTGTAGGTATAAGAGGAGATTGACGAAAACAACTTATGAACCCGTATTTGATCATAACAAAATAATCTTGAGTAAATTCGAAGTATGAGAAGAATTACAGTAAATATTATTTTGTGGACGGGCGACTCATAAACAAAATTAGGGTAAACAACAAATCTCCCCAATTATTGAGGTCATGGAAATATACCGAGACCGAGGGTACAATTACGGTAAGTTCTAATGCATGCATTATTGACATTAAAACTTATTGTCTGGAGAACACCTCGAGATTAACCCTCACGAGTCAATATCTAATTTCTTAACAAATACCGTCCACGCGCCATCAAACTAATTGACCCAAAACGACCGACCACCATGTTTGTTGATCGTCAGGCAGGAAAGATGGATGAGGTTTCGAAAAAACCAATAAGAAGTATACAAATAATTTTTACTCGGATAATGATTATTTAATTTGTAAGCAGTTACTCTTTTCTTAGTTATTACTAAAGTGTTATTATCCTGAATAAAATATTGAAAAATTGATTTATATCGTGACTGTATATAGGTAAGTTTTGTTATACTTTACTTACTAATGGTGGAAATACAACATTATAGTTTTTTACTTAAAAAAAATATGTGTATTGTCAGAGTTTTTGTTCGTAATAACGTCTAGAGCTTGCTTATTTATCATATTCTGAAGGGACCTATTTACTTACTTACCTCTATTATACCACACAATAAATGGGAGTATATGCATGATGTAAATATTTTATTGACGTTAATTACCACGTCTGCATCGGTGGAAAAACTGCAAAAGTATTAAACAATTTTCCAAGTAGTAAAGTAGTTGAAAAATTAATTGCAAGATTCGAATATTAAGGGGGAAGGTAAGGTATGGTTTCTACGTTTCTAATATTTAACAGGGTTTTAAGTCACGCAAATAAAGCGGCGCAAGGCGGTCATTCCCTCATTAATATTTAATTAATAAACTTCCCAGTAAGCGATGCGATGGGTACTAAAACAGCATGCAACTCGCTCTCTCTTAAATTTAACATGGGTTCGTCGTCTTAATTTTTAATGAAATGTATACGTGCTTTGCAATTAGCGGCAGTATAATATCGATTCACAGCGGATAACTGTAAGAATATTAATTGAAGGCATCAATAAAGTATGGGAAAATTACCTTTGGCCAATATGTCATTTTTCTGGTAATTGTCGATTCCGTACATTTATATTTTATAGAGGCGCTATTATCGAACTAATATACCTTTAATAGGCCAATTACAAACGGAAAAAATGGAAATTTGTGTGAACAATATCGATGATGGTACGTGTTGAAACATTTGTAAAAAATCAGACTGGAGTTGCGCTTAATTCAATATTAAAGGAATATGACAAACAATACATGTAGTCTAGCGGAACTTGTTGCATATCGTCGATGTAACGGCCATTATTTATAGTAAAAAGGTGGAAGAGAAATTTTGCCACCAATCAATCAACGGTGTAATTTACATTTTAAAACAGTACTCCAAGATAAATGCTTCATGATGATTAACGATCTTTCAAAAATTCACAAATATTATATACAGAATTCCCAGCAGTTCTGACAATCGATTTTCATTTGAACGAGTCCTTAAAATGGACGCCATTTATACATGAAAATTACTAGTTGTACAAAACGGTGATAATGAAGCAAAGTGTAGGAGGTCATAAGGAACCTTTTCAACGTAAAGGATATATTTTAAAATAGTGCGGAAAAGTATTGGTTTACTTCAAAAAGATTTCAAATAAAATATTTTTTAAGTATCTTCCTATCACACGCCACTGTTAATAATTTTTGGCATTATTACTTATATAAATTTTTAATAATTTTTGAGTTTATTTTATCTATCGCCCCATTTTTTTACATTTTTATATGTTCCACCCTGTATGCACTTTTAATAATAATTTTTTTTAAATAATAATTTTACTTCCCAACAGCTAACAACCAATTACGGACAATCACAAGAGAGTAGTAACAGTAAGAATTTAAATTATAAAATCACTTAGTTACATACATGAAAATTAAAATGAGAAAAAATTTATTGTAACTGCTTTGTCTATCCATTTGTGTATGTATAACTGTATCACTATCCGATTGCCTTAAAGGTGCCGATGCACTTTTTTCTTCACCTTTCTTCTTATACTTTTTGTGCCTACCTGGCACATGCGAACCTATAGCTTTTTCCTTTTCACCAAGCTATTCAATTTTTCAATCGATACTGTGTGCTGCTTCTAATTTGGGCAGATTTAATTTTCCAAATCGCTAAATTTAAAGTTTTATTTTATTTTTGGGTTTGAATTTTTCCAATGATACCTACTGCATTACAATCACATAGATCGCCACCAAATCCTTGGGAGCGGTGTCCTTTTGTAATCAAAATTTACAAAATACAAAGATGTAGCTCAAGGCATAAATTAAAAGATCTGGATCTGCGCATTTAGAGAAAATGAAATAAGAAAAACTATAATTTTATTCCATCTCTCTTTGTGTATGGTCGAGATTGAGTTGGTAGAGCAAAATTTTCATTTATTTACAAATTTCGTCGGAAAAATGACAAAAACACTTTGATTTCATGGTGAGGAACGAAATTATATGTCATAAGTTGGTAGGCAAACTTCATTTATTTACAAATTTCGTCTTGAAAACGACAAAACTCTAATTTTGATTCATTAATGCTGCATGGTGTGAGAATTTTTCCAAATGAATTAAGGGCCTCAAAAGTACCAAAATATGGGTTTTGGTTATGCGGTTTCTGATTATGTAAACCTATCTTAAGTTGTCGAAGGAGAAAATTCTGATCGCGATGAAATTGAAATATATCTGGGTATCTTTGAACACGAAAATTTTGAAGTCTGCATTTATTCTAATTAGGCCCATTTGTCAGTAATGGAAGTGCTATTACATTGACCCATAATCTCCCTACTAAATCCTCCTAAAAAGGTCATTAATGCGACAAATTTAATAACACACATTTACGGTGGCCGAAATAATAATATAATTCAAAATGATTTTCGATTACCGGGGGAAATGCCAACCTTTTTTTGGTCTTTCCGATTTCAACAGATGGTCATTGAACCTCCCCATACCTTATTCAGCGCGCTCTTTTATAATACGAAATGAGTCGACATTTAGAATTTGGTAAGGTGTTATAGCTTCCGATGAAATGTTTTTTTGCTATACGAAATGGCGTGATCGAATATACGTTGGCGGGGGTTAATGCAAAACTGAAAAAAAATCCCCCTCGAAAATTGTATCGAATACACCACAAAACCATAAACAAATAGTGATTTTAACTGTGTACACGTGGACGTGGCACGAACCGGCAATCAATATTTCCCTTGTTACTGACGTGTTATTGAAAATGTGCCAATTAGAATTTTCCACTGAAATGACAACGGGAATATTCGTAGCATCGTGCGACTATTTAATGGTGTACGTTTGAAAACTGTTACCCCGGTTCCATCGGATAATTATATTTAAGGCCAATTTTTTATTTATGTAGGGATAGCGCAGTCGGTAGGTATATGAAAAACAACGTTCTCGGATATTATACTTGTTTGTATTTCGAAAGGGTTACTATGACTACTCTTAAACAATCAATTGTGGACACGTACTCGAGTACTTGTCCCTAAACCAATGAGATCTGTCCTAGGGGAGATCTTTTACAGATAAGTTGATAGTCTAGTGACCACTGGTCAGTTCTTACGTGCCCATTGAGTCGTGAAGTTGCTACAAATAAGGTGCTTCACCGGGAAGAAGGTACGACTCTTTTATAGTTTGCTTATTTTACATTTGTTTTGTTGGAAAGATTTTTATACATTCTTAGCTTTTATCAATTTTATTTCGGGTTTTGTTCGTACTCCAATTTCTCATCGATAACTCAAGTGTGTCTTGGCACGTTAGTTCAAGGGTGGTTGCGTTTTAACAACTTACATAAAGAACTAAAAGAGAACCTATCAATCTACCTTGGAGTTTGTGTCGTTCCGCTTGCTCGCATAGCTGGAAAAAATATCTATCCTCAAAAAACGGGCACTCAATTAGTAGATTAGCTGCAAAATAAATAAATTTCGGCGCTTTTGAGAACGTACGTGTTGTTTCAGGTTCAGGTTCCGAGCAGCTGAGACGGGAGCATCTCGATTCTCGCTGATTTAATTAAAGGTAAGTGCTCCTCGTCTAAATTTTTAACGTACACTTTTGATTTATCGTGATCCATCCACGTTTGTCAAAACAATGTTAACTACGAGCAGTTTCCTTATTTCTGTAATGTATTAGCTGTCAGAACTAGAATGCCTTTCGCAGATTTCCCAGAAAACGAACACGAATTTGATTGATTGTTGTAATAATAATTCACTTATTGTACCGCACATTGATAACTAACAATATGTGCCCTCCCTTAAAAATCGTCTTGGCAGTTTATATATGGCATCTTTAGCGTTGTGAATCGCGATATTTCCAAACGTCAATTCCGGAATAATCTCTCGACAATTTGGCAGTTATCCCTTAATCCCGAACATCGCAGTGGAGTCTGCGAAATAAAATTTCCTCTCTTGATTCTCATATTCAAACAGTACGTTCGAACAGTAAATTCGAGTTAAAAGTGTAAGAACTTCACAAGTGTAAACGGTGTGTCGTATTAAAAGAGAATTAAACGGCGCTAGGCGTCTCGCCCGATTTATATCGTGATTCTGCTGTACATTAGACCGTTTATTATGCAGAGTTCCAGCGCAGAATGTGAACTTATCGTTTTCATAATCTCGGTCTAATGGCTTTCAACAAGTTTCCGAAATGAGGTTGGCGGGATTTTTACAAAATTGTGTAGTTTGGCAAAACCTTGCTCTCTAAATTACAAAATTGGACGCATGTTTTTCGCTGTTCATTATTTTATTGAAACGTCGATTTTCAAGACAGTTGTGAGGATTGCGCTCCGATGGAGCGTGTAACTCGAAAAATTATTATTCGACCCATCAGCTTTATTTTCTGAATCTGCTTTGACAGTGGTATGTTTTTTTTTCCTAAGTCAAGTAAAATGCATACAGTCTCAATTAATAAATTAAATTCGGCAAACTGCTCAGACTTTTGAAATTTTAAACACCAAATTTACACTTACTCCACAAGATAAGGTATTTTTTCTCTGGTATATTTAGTATATTTTGGTAGTGCGACCGCATGGTTTCGGGTTCATGGTTCTATAAACCCTTGAAATTAAAAATTAAAAGTCGTTTTGTACACGGTACAAATATTTTTGATAGCGCTCTCTTGATTTTATGATTTGTTTAGCAGTTTGTTAAAAAAAATTATAGATGACGCTTTTCATTTAAAGAAAAGTGGGCTGTGTCATTGTTAGAAGGTACATTTACAGGATTTATCATAGCAACTCTACTTATGATAGTAAGATTAAAATGACAATTTTTTCAATTTTGAAAAATATTTATTATAGAAACGCAAAATTAATAAGCTTTAATTTTTCTAATTATTTTTTATGTCCGTTTAGCAATAAAGTTAAGTTCCAGTTAGGATAGACACAGAAAGTACATTTGTAGTCAATTTCCTCGAGAATCCTTGTGATCCACACAGCCAAACAGACTCTGATCGGGTTGTAGACGTAGATACGCATTTCTGCAATTTGCCTGACTAACCAATGGGACCACCAGCGTACTTGAACAAGATTCCGGTCGTTGATTTCCTTGTTTCTCGGTCCCCACCGTGGTCCGCATTCAGTATAGAATACTAAGAGGGCTGATCGCAGGCTTCTTCTTGTACTAACGTTCATATGGCGAAATCCCTGGTTCTGCCCGGTTCGATTAATACCCCACGCAGTGTTGTGATCACAGCTTCAGCCCAAAATTCCTGTATGAGTCCAGAAGCTTGCAACATAGTTCTGGCAGCTTCTACCTAGATTCGGCACCGCCGTGATCTGTTGGACATCCTTCTTCACAAATTCAGTACCATTATCAGTCAAAAGCTCTTTGACTTACGTATTCTCAAGAAGAAACTGTTTTAACTTGGCCTTGACTTCTGACTTTTCCCTTAGTATGAAAACTAAACGATACATGGTGAACTCATACTTAAAAACTACAAAGAAGCGACTTCTTTTTGGGGATTTTTTGGCATAGGCCCACACACACATTAGCGTTGATCTTATCACTCGGGCTAGTTATGACCTTCCGTTGCCCGAAGCTCAAACGGTGCATTTTTCCATTAATGCATGCATCGCATAGGTCTGATTTCAAATTGCCATTGACATCGATCCTGTTTTTCTTCGGGAAGGTCAGAACATGAACGTTTGTTCTCATGAGCTAAGGGGTCGACCATTAATCATGTCATGTTTTTTAAGAACTTTTTAAACCCTCCTCCCCCCTGGTGATACGTGGTTAGGTTTAAGACTAACCTCCCTCCCCTACCCAAAATCAGGTGTATTTTTTTAGTACAAAGTATTTTAAAAATATTCAGATTATTGTCTTGAAACACGGGCAAGTATTCTAATTTAATTCTGGGAAATTAAGGACAGTGATAAAAATGTCCAAACAGACATTAAGGTTGTGGATTTAGAAATCGCACGATTTAGTGAAAAGATAAATACACGTGATTGTCTCACTACACCCCTACTACCAGAGAACCTGCTTTTCTCTCAAAAGTAGAAATTCAATTACGGTTCATGCGTGTGCTGCGATACACCGGAATCTGCAATCCAAACATTGGGGGACTCCACAGATTTGACGATATCCGATTAACTAACAATTCTTACAGTCTCGCTTATAATGGCATAACTCACCACATTTGTAACAATTTGGGACAAATTTCTTTGACTTCGCCACTTCCTTAACCGTGTCCATTCCTCTACCTGGGTTTGTTGAGTTAGTGGCAAAATAGGTCAGGAGAAGCTTCCATCATTCAGCCGCTGCTCAGCAATACATAACCTCTCTCTAAGATCTTTGAGAATCCGTATAGGTTCCCTTTCTGTTATACTAAAAAACTCAAGTCAATAATACTATTTTACATCTGTAGGCAGTTCAGTAGATTGCCTTACTTTCCACTATGTCCATACAGCCATTTACGTTCAACTAACTTTTGAATTTCCAATCAACCCAATTGGAATGTCCCTTCAATTGATCTATTGATTTATTTAATGACATCAATGACGAAAAGAAATGTAATTTAACATGGCAAACGGCAACATGACAGTTTGCAATACATGTTATTAATTTACTATCTCTCTCAGTGCAACACATCAACATTCGAAATCTTAAGGGTTGGTCATTTGATTTTTCCATCAATAAAGTTACAGTGGAAAAAAGGTACCCTATGAAAAAAGATATATGGGAAACAGTACAATGACTTATTGAATACTGTACCAGAAAACCAGAATGTTTTAATTATCAAATTGTTCGACATTTCGTTATGTATTGTCACATTTCGTCCCTCATTGCCTTTTAAGTTTTAATCGTGACATTTTAGTTCCTTGAATGGAAGAGAAAACAACGGAGCTCAAAAATGATATTAACACCATGATCCACCATTGACATCCATGGTAACCTCATCCCCTGTAGGTTTTTCATAATATTAATTTTGTTCAATTTGAATTTAACTGCTTGGCTTATGTATCAGTGGTACTAACGATGCATTTAATTTGTCATTTATGTCGGCTGATAAGGGAACGGTATATTTCTTCAATACAACATGTCAGCCTGTAAAATAATGTAAATAAATCAGGATTACTTAATTACATCCTTTACATTTATGAGACACATCAATTGCCACGCGTGGTTTTACATCAATCATTACGTATTTTGTTTTAAATTCTGGTAGGAATAACGTCAATATTGAAAGAATGTTCGTATCTCGTTGCAACTTGACCGTAATAGATAGGTACCCTTTTGCAAAATCGTTTACATCCGTGCTTTTCAAATGCACATAACTGGGACTACGAAACAATACTGGGGTTTGAGGGGTTGCAATCAGTATAATCTTCGCACTTTTGAGACCAGTATGATTACCACACACCATCCATCTCTGATGAAGATGATGTAAATTAAAGGGGCCATCCCCATCTACTTTTGTCGAATCGGGTCAAATGTAATCGTTTTTTGCCAATTGAATATCTTCCGAACATGGTATTTACATGGAATCTCGTATTACCTCAATAAGGAAGATGCAGTTTGCAATTTTGCAATTCTAATTACAACGTGTCAAGTTTATCGTTGCACAAACATCATCATAATTATTGTCTTAAAAGTTGCGACTCCTTGCGTGAATCTCAAGGTGGGATTAACTATGTCAGTTCTCCTTTTTCATTACTCGTTATCCTTGGTGTGTAAATTCCTCGTGCGTATAGCCAAATCGGCTGTGTTTACTAGTAGCCTACTTCCGTTTACACGGTCAATCACGATATATGCAACCAAACACCTGTTTACGTACCTGCAGTCGTCAATAAATCGCTGAAGCGTGCGGTGTGTGTTTGTGTTTTTTTTTAAATTTTCGTAAGTGCTCTAAATTACACAATTTTTATTTACGATTTTGATTCAAATTTGCGTCTCAAAAGTGTCCGGAATTCACTGTCTTCTGTTGTTTCACCGATGGGAATTAAAACTCCCCGAAGTTCTACATTTCTTTCCGCTTACCACACAGTGCGAGTAGAAAGTAATCAAAAAAGTCGCCTTATTTACTAACTCAAGCGGCATAAACTTGTGTCGCTTTCCTCCTCCGACATGAACCAGAAGTACGCATCCACTTATTAATAATTTCCGCAAGCTTGATACATAGGGGTCCTGTTTTATTTATTTACTTTTTATAGTATTAGAATTTTGAACATTTTAAGAAACTACGTGGCCTCATATTATATTCATAGATGGCAAGGGAGACCTTCTGGTTCGTTCAAATCTACATTGGTTCCATAGGTGTACAGATGGGATAGCCTCTATTGCAAGGACGTGAATTTGTCCGGTATCTAAATTAAGTTTTGTCAGGTAACTGAAACGTGAGTTGGTTGTGGCTTGGTGCGAAATGCAATTCTCTTTAATTGTAGATTACGACAGGTGAATTGTGTAAGGTAATGATCCTCCACTGTCCCCTCATTTAGATGATAGGTATATTATTACGACACGATTTGCATTTCTGTTAATATGTAATTAGTACTAATTGAATATTAATCGACCACTTAC